GGCTCAGTGCACCCCCGGGGGTGGGGCTGGGGCCGGCAGGTGGGAGATTGAACTTCTGGCCGCTGTGTCTGCCAAAGCAGGCTCTTTAATCCACTGAGCTATCTGGCTGGCCTTTCTTTGGGGAGGTCATTATGGCTCAAAATGCAATTTACTGTTAATTTCACAAATACACACATTGTATTATTCCGAAAACAAGGCATGCACCTCTCCTAGCAGATTTACCACTTCTGACCAAATAAGACATCAACTTCTTAAAAACTGTTTCATGCACTGTACTGGATGATTTTAGGATGTGAATTTTAGTGTATTATTTCTTTTTTGAACTTAAGCGGGAACCAGAGGGGGATGGTCTAGAAGACCACCTGAGGCAGGATCTCGCCATGCAGTTAAGGCTGGCCTGGAATACACTATGTAGCCTGAGCTAGCCTCAAATTCGTGGTGATCCTCCTGCTTCAGCCTCTTGAGTTCTGGGATTACAGGCGTGCGCCACCATGCCCAGCTGTTTTATTAACTTTTAAAATTCATATGCTTTTACTTTAATAGACCTTTAGCTTTTAAAACTTTGAAATCCTTATTATCTCTTTTTGGAATATTCCCTAAATTTTACCCTTAGGATTCTTCTTTCTAGTGTCTTAGATTCTTCTGTACTCTGTTTACTTTTTCCCTTAAATTGTTCAAATGGGAGTATTTGAGTGGATAGGAGAGGGAATGGGAGGGAGAACTGTATGTGTTTTTAGAGTTGGGGTGTAATTGAGATGTTAATTTAAAAAAAAATGGAGGGCAAGGGAAAGGAAAGACAAGAATGGGAACAACTCTGCAATCGCAAGGGGAGTGGCCGCAGCTGTGGGTGGGTGAGCACCCTGCAGGAGCAGCCCAGGTGCCGGTTTGTTGACGGAGGCTGTGAGGCCGGCCATGCAGCTGGAACCCTGGCAGGTTCTTCCTATTCAGAGCGTCTTTGGAAAGAGCCCTTAGCTGCAGGCAAACAAGGTCTGCGTGACGGCAGCTAGTATTTGTCTTGGAGCCGAGCTCCGGGCACTGACCGCCGCCGCCGTCCTGCTGGATGTGAAGGTGGCGTCAGGGTTTCCGTGCTGTCGGCCTCTTTTGCTTTCTATCCACCCAGAACAGCCACAAAGCACAGCTCTGCTGTCTTGGTGTTTTCTCTCTGCTTTGAAGTTTGTTTTCTCCCTGTTTCTTACCACCTTCCTCTGTAAATAACAGTGCAAATAAATCTGCCTGTAAAAACACAGTCGACAATATTCAGCACTCTGCCCCTGTACCTGATCATTTCTTCGGCAGAGAAGTTGTATGTTGCCTCTTTCTTCCCTTTTGAAAGGTAGTTCCTGAGTCTCATTTTTCAATAATCAAGTTAAAACGTATGATATATTTTGGTGGTGTTTAAAAACACTTACGTCTTGGATGCTGAAAACAAACCCAGTGGAAAGCTCGAGCAGGTCTTGGTGCCTGCTGCTTCACGCCTGGCGCTGTCACTGACCAAGCTTGACCTTGGATGCCGTGTTCCTTTGGCTTCCTCCTCTGTGAATTACAGATCGTAGCAGCCCCTGTCACAGAAGACCGTTAGGAAGTCAGGGATGGCAGTGCTTATCCAGGGTCTCAGTGACTTGGAAGGCTGAGGCAGGAAAATCACTTCAGCCTGTGAGTTTAAAGCTGTGCAGAGCAGAACATAGAGAAACCCTGTCTTTTTTTTTTTTTTGGGTTGTACAGGGTATCAAACTTGGGACCTTGTACTTGCCAGGCAGGTGCTTATGCCACTAAGTTATATCCCAAGGCCGAAACCCTGTTTTAAACAAGCAAAAGAAGACAGACAAGTACAGTGTCTGGCAAAAGTAAGGATGCAAATGCTTACTGTAATTAATAAGGTCTCACTGTGTAGAGCAGGCTGGCCTTGACCTTGCTTATGTAGCCCAGGCTGGCCTCAGACTCATGGTGATCCTCCTGCCTCAGCTCCCCGAGGGCTGGGATTATAGGTGTGCACCACCACACCTGGCTCTAATGCCTCTTTTTTTGGTATATGGGTGCTGGGGATGGAATCCAGGACCCTGCACGTGCTAGGCAAGTGCTCTGAGCTACATCCCCTGCCTAATAATTTTTATTTTTTATTTTAGGGAAGGGTCTACAGGGTGTTTAGGGTCTCACTACTAGATCGGACTCATAGTGATCCACCGTTTACAGCCTCCCAAGAGCTGGGATGATAGGCGTGTGCCACCACTCCTAGTCTCAGTGTGCCCCAGGGGCGTGGCCAGCATGGCAGGCTTGGGGATTGAACCCCTGGCCCTTGTGCCTACTTGCAGGCACTTGAATCCACTGAGCTATTTGGCTGGCCAGTAAAAATTTTTATATGCCCTTCCACTCCATCATTTTGTAGCTAGAGAAACAAAAGTTCAGCATATCCCTAGTTCACTTCAACTGAAAACCCTAATGGGCCAACTGCCCAAGTGGTCTTATTTTAACTCCGAAAGGAAGCAACCAGAATTATTTATACTCAAATTTTATAATTAAATTTTATACATAGCCTTACAAAGTACATACATTGCTTATTTTTATTGCAAATTTATTGTAAAGATGGGCATAATGTGTTGAAGGATTAATAAATGCTCCTTGAAAGACACAGCTCTGCGGAGACAACTTTGTGGAGACAGCCTCTTGGGCTCAGTAATTTCCATGAACCCCTCAGAGCGTGGTTGCCGTGTTAGTTTCTGTTGAAAAGGCAGTAAGTGGAGAAAGGAAGTGAAGACATAATTTAAATAACTACATGGCCACCTCACATCTGGCCTCCATAAAAAGTTTACAGAAGATTCAAGTGGAGGTTGAAGGTAAGTAAGTAATTTCACTATATCAAATTTATTTTCAGCTTAGTTCATGGTGAATGTGTCTCTGTTTTCCTTTCTCTTTGCTCTGTGTGGTTCTGAATTCCAATGGGAGGCGTTGCGAGGATTGTTTTCGTTTTGTGGGCATCAAAATGCCAGAACACGTGGCCTGCATTTTGCACAAAGACCACTACGGTGAGAGTTGCCAGCTGAGAGCCCTGCGGCTTCCTAGCCAAGGAGCAGGCCCAGATCATGCGTTGGGCCCAGAGCTGCTGCAGATGGGCCTCTTTCTGGCTTTGTTTGCGCAGCCGAGAGGATCTTGGCCTGTGGGGTGATTCAGTAAGCCCCTCCAGAGGTTCAGCACACCTGCAGGGGCCTGAATGGGTGCACCCACAGCCCACAGGCCTCTGACTCTGTGGGAGAAACAGGAGGGAAGGGGAAGTGAGCGGGGGCACCCTGTCTGGTGGGGTGTCTGTCTTGTGGTCACCCCTGGGTGGTCTAGACTGCTGGAACATGAAAGGTGTGTAGTTCCTCATGGTTTGGTTATGGGCATGAAGGCCCTTTGTATTGCCAGGTAGTTTGCCTGTTTGACTTTTTTTTTTTGAGACAGAGTCTTGCTATGTAGAGTCTGGGCTGGCTTTTTGTTTGTGATGTTCCTACCTCAGCCTCCCTAGTGCTGAAATTACAGGCCTGTATCACCATGCTAAGTTGCCTATTTAGGGCATGGTGGTGCAGGTCTGTAATCCCAGCACTCAAGAGGCTGAGGCAGGAGGATCCAGAGTTCAAGGCCATCATGGATTAGTGGTGTGGAGTGAGGGAAATTTGCTTATATATACTTAAGATAAGTAGACTATGCTAACTTTGCTCAAAGTGTGTATGTATGAGACACACACACATAGAGACACAAAGAGGTTAATTTTTTCTCTTGATTTCTTTGCAGCTCTTGAGAAAATCTATTTTACAAAGAGGAAAACCAGTGGTTGAAGGGTCTTTGGAGAAGAAGCCTCCATTTGAAAAACCTAGTATTGAGCAGGTAAAAAGATAAAAAGAAGCTATTTAAGACTGAAGAAATCACTTTTGTTTTGTGGGAGGCTATTAGGAATTAAACTCAGGGCCTTTCACATGCTAGGTGGGTACCAATGAGTTACATCTCTAGAGTGAAGCAAGTTTTAATCTTCTTGGAGTCCTCCATCTGGAGCTTGAGATGTTTACCATGCCTGCAGAGGTTGTTTTGACCCATTTGGCTCACATGCGCATACCTAATTTGATAAATGATCTCACTTTTGTTTTTTAGGGTTGTTGTGTACTTAGAATTTACTGTGTGTTTGGGGAAGGAAAAAAGAAAGCTAGAACATTGTAGTTTGTAAGCTGGCATGAAATGTGCTTTTTCTTGTTGATGTTTTAAAATCCAGTCTCTGTCCTTTTGTCTGTCCCTGTCTGAAAAATCTGTGGAGGTGAGGGACTGCAGTGGTAGCGTGAAGAACATCGTAAGTCAAGCAAAAAAAGAGTTGAGTTTGTACCCAGAAACTGATTCTCTGCTGCATTATGATTCCTGGAAAGAAGCTATTCATTAGGGAATTGGTTAAAATTCATGGACTGTTCCCGGAGGGTGCTGTCGGGATCTCTCAGCAGCATCCCTTTTGAACCTTTGTTTGGCTAAGTAACTCTCAGTCTGGACTGAATTTCTTGATGAGGATGTGATTACAGAAGCCGCAGTGCTAGATCCTTACAAGTAAACATGTTTTTGTTAGTTTTCTTGAAGATGAATTCCATCTTGATTTCAAACTATTAAATAAGAACATATTGTTCTTGGGTGTGGAGTTAGATGAGACAGGAATGTAGAAAGGTTAAATTAATTCACAGCTTTTTTAAGCACGTAATTTTGAATAAGTTTTTTTTTTTTTCTAATAGGCTTCCTATCTGATATGTTTTTTTTTTCTTTCCTGAAACCAAAAGAACAATAATAACAAGCTCAGTTTTAGTGGCTTAGTTCCACTAAAGATGGGCTTAAGTTTGAGTTGTTTAGTGCTGTGGAATTCATGTTGGCAGCCTTTTGATTAAAATTTTATCAAACAAGCCACAATTATTCAAGAAGCACATTACGTGTGATCGGGTGTGCTGGTGACGTTGTGCAGGACAGACAGAGCATCATTCTGCAGAACAGATACATTTTATTGTGTAAGGGCTGTGGCCTTTTCAGCCCATGGTTTTGATTTTCTCTTTAATGCTTCAGGACTGAAGTGGCGTAGAATGATAGGCAACTCGTGGCCTTTCTGTCTTGTCCCTTTTCATTAGGATCTAGGCAAGATTCCCTCTTGGCATTTGCTGTTTCCTTTTAAAGAAAGGGAAAAGATTTTTGTGAATGGAAAGCGACTGTGCTTCTGTTACTCATCACGAGGGTGCTGGTTAAGAATGAGATGATGGCATGATTGCATGAATAAATTACCTTCCTTCCTTTTCAGGGTGTGAATAACTTTGTACAGTACAAATTTAGTCACCTGCCACCCAAAGAAAGGCAAACAATAGTTGAGTTGGCAAAGATGTTCCTGAACCGTATCAACTATTGGCATCTGGAGGCACCATCGCAGCGGAGACTGCGCTCTCCCAACGATGATATTTCTGGATACAAAGAGAACTACACCAGGTGATCAGCTGGCATGCCCGTCCCCGCTGGCCCCATAGAGCACGCTGCAGACTTGAAATTACTTCTGGTCTCTGCAAGCGGAGGGTCCCCAGTTACTATGGTGGCGCCATCACTGTAGAGATAACGTCTGTGTGACATTTACTTGCAAACTTCTGCTTTTTGTTAACATCACAGTGTTTTAGAGGTGAGAGAGCCAGATTATTTAGGCCCCTACTGTCCAGCATGCCGGTCACTAATCCTGTGTGGCTACTGAGCAGTGAAATGTGGCTAATTGGAGTTGCGATTTCTAAGATTGTAGTTTAAAAAAGTTTAAGATAGTTCATTAATAGTTTTTGTTGTTGCTGGTTTGTTTGTTTCTTTGTGGCGCAATGTTCATTATGATAATGGAATTAAGGAATTTTTAAAAGAAAGATTCTCCTGCCTTAGCACCATGATGAAACTGATGCTGCTGTCTGTCTATAACATCTTTCAGTGTTTTTCCCTTTAAGTACATATTTGATATTATAATGAAGGATGACATGGAATTTTATGTCCCTTTCTTTTCCTCCACTTGACAACATATTAAACATTTCGTGAATTACATTATAGTCCATTGACTGGAAATACTGTGATTTATCCAACAATTTTCATATTATGGAGATTCAGTTGTGCACATAGTCTTGGATTGAACATGTGTTTTATTTTTTTTTAAAATTTATTTATTTTATTTATTTATTTATTTATGTGTGTGTGTGTGTGTGTGTGTGTGTGTGGCCAGCTCAGCCCACCAGGAGGCGGGGCTGGCTGGCATGTGGTGCTGGGGGATTGAACCGCGGTCCCTGTGCTTTGCTAAGCTTGTTCTAAGTAGGTGCTTTAGACCACTGAGCCATCTCACCAGCCCTCAACATGTGTTTTATAAAGTAGGGATTTATTTTTACTGCTTACGAACTGCAGAACTGCAATTCTCTTAAGGATTGATATTTATAGGAAATATAAATTTCTTCAGAATCTGTTTTTATTATTAGGTCATCATCTCTGCGTCTATAATTGCAGGATTTTACATTAATAGTAGTTCTATATTATTGGAACTGTGTAAATCTGATAAAAATAGGTGTCATCAGCTTTTTCTTTTTTGGTGGTGCTGGTGATTGAACCCAGGGCCTCTGCACTGAGCTGCATCCCAGGTCCTTTTTCATTTATATTCTTTCTTATATACTTGTTTATTTTTTGGTTTATTTATTTTTTGGGGACAAGATCTTGCTACGTTGTTCAGGCTGGCCTTGAACTTGTCTGCCTCCTGCCTCAGCCTCCTGACTGCTGGGATTACAGGCCTGCCCTACTGCAGTTGGCTTTTTAGAGTTTAATTTTAAATTTTTTTAGACAGGGTTGCATTACCTTGCTAAACTGCCCCAGCTGGGCTCAGACTTCACGATTCTCTTGCTCAGGCTCAAAGAGTACCAGGATGATAGGTGGTTGCCAGCTAAAGCTGAGCGTTTGTCACACCCCTAAGGCGTTTATCACTTTAGAGAGAAAACAGTTGTTTCATCAAGAAGGAGAAATAAATGTGAATCAGCACACTAAGCAGGAGCCATTACTATATTTTAGAAAAGAATATGAAAACGAGGCAGCATTTGAGAATTACTAAGAAAGGGGTGGTACTTACAGGTACTTAGACTAGCAAAAGCAGCGATTAGGCCTTGAATGCGCTCTGCTTTGACGCGCAGTTTTCTCTTGCTGCTCTGTGAGCCTTGGGCTCTTCCTTCACCTCCATGGGGGTCGGGGTTCCTTTTCTGGACCCTGTGGGCTGTGAGCTTCGCCTGGGAGTTGGGGCATCACCTGGCGCAGGACAGGTGCTGGGGAAAAAGCTCACTGTCCTTTCCCTCCCACTCACGTTGCTTCCTTGGAGTTCACTTACCACCTCCAGTGGCCGGTAGGCTGCAGCCTTAAATGGGCAGTTGAGTGAAAGTGTGATTATTTGAATATTATTTTAGAGGCTAAGATCTTAGGGGAGTGATGGAAAGACAGCAGAAGGGTTCTTTCCTGCCCAGCTTCTGAAGGGAAGGAGTCAGACGGCAGTGGAGAGAGACCCCGAAATGAATATACCCTGCCTAGTGAGTTCAGAAACCTGCTGATTTCCAGGCGGAATGAAGAGCAAGAGTCACAGTTAATAATAAATAAGGAGGTGCTGATAGCCATGCCACCCCACCCCTGCCTTCCCAGCCCCGTGCCCTGCCGCTGGAGAAAGGGAAGTGGATAGGAAGGAACAACTTGTGAGAATTAGGGGGCTCAGTCTTTGACTCAGAATAAAACCCTACTTCTGTGACCACATTGGGGAATTTTAAAAACCACACACTGCACAGCATGGTGTCTCCTTGATCCTAATCGTCTCAGAAATGGGTAATATTATAGGCTGCAGGCACCAGCAGCCGTTGTCTTGATGTGAAAGAACTCGCAGTACCTCAGTGCGGGTTCATCTTAAACTTTACAGCGGTGTAACCGTTAGGACAAAGGGGCCCAGACTTCTGGAGCCCAGCATTAGCATGACAATGGGGTGAAATTGGATTCTCTTCGGAAAAGACTGAACTCGGAAAATGATTGTGTATGTTACAGAGCTAACCTGCCAAACTTTATCTGATACAAAATCAAAAGCAGATTGAGCAGAAGATCTGCCTGAATTACATAGTCCGTGTTACAAATAAAGGGAGAAAGATACATTTTTAAAAATGTAAATTAGCTGTATATTTTACTCCCAGAAGTCAGTATGATTTTAAAGTCTGGACAAATATTTTGAAGACTGCTGCATCTCATGATAGTACACTGATATAATTTCATGAGGAAATAACGTGAAAAGAAAGTGCCAGGGGAATGTGACTTCTTAAAATACATCTTGCCAACAGAATCCGCTAAAGGAAAGTGGCAAATAGTGTTAGGTTTTGAGGGTGAGAGACAGAGTCTCTCTGTGTAGCTCAGGCTGGTCTTGGACTGGAGGTACAAGAATGCACCTCCACACTCAGTTTAGATGTTGAGTTGTGCAGAGCTTCTGAAAGCTAATGATGTTCTCCTGCGTGGGGGAGATGGTTCCTGAGAGCGTACAGCGAGATAGAACTGATTGCCTTGGCTGTGGGACACTGTCTTATGTGCCCATTGTTCTGTGGAGTAGAGCCCGTGGCATGCACACGGGGTGTTTATGCTGGGACATGGATGTCTAGAGCAGTGTGCTTCAGGTGGAGGAGAAGCACTTGAGCCTCGGGGACAGGAGCCTTGGTCAGCATGCCAGCCTAGATTGTGCATCCCTCACCCAAAGCGGTCAGCACCAGAACTCTTTCAGTTTAAGGCTTCTCAAATTTTGGAATATTTGCACAGACTTTACTGGGTAAACATCCCTAATCTGAAAACTTTAAGTTTTGGAATTTGAAACATTCTGAATTTCAGACTTGTTTTGCTAAGTCTGTAGGCACTAGCCTTTAGTACCTTGTAACCTAGGAGAATTCAGTTAGTTCTTGAAAGCTGGATTTCTAGCGCGGCAGACATAGAAACAATCTGGTCTTCTGCATCTTACTCATATTTTAAAGTTACAAATCATAAGGATGATGTAAAACATCTGAGCGCTATCAGTAAATAGCACACACGCGCTATTTCTATTAGGCATTCAAAACTGAGGAAATTACTATTTGCCTTCTTTTTAAGGAACCTGAAACGTGTCATGCAGGTAAAATTTTTTCCAAGGGTTAGATCTTTGGTGGAATGTGTGACCTATACACGTTTCCTTCTTTCTGTGTCACTGTGCAGTGACTGTGTCAGCTGACGGACAGGACACACTTTCCTCCACGTCATACTGCATTTCCTTCTGTGCACTTTATAGCTTATTAGATGAAATTAATCTTAGAAGTAAAAACGAATCAAAACTGAAAAGCACAAATTAATGACTGTAAAGTGAGTCATTCAGAGGAAATGAATGGGAATCGGTTACTTGACAAATGCTAGTAGTTAGTAACTGTGTGCTGTCCTGTGCTGCGAAGGCTGAATGATGTGTAAAGCACTTTCAGATAACGTTTTAGGTTAGTATCTGTGACCTGTCGTCTCTGTAGCAGAAAAATTAATCTTAGCTTCTTTGATGTCTGTGGACCCCCACAGATGGAAATGCCTTTAGATTCTAAATAGCACTGTCCAGAGATACATAATGTAAGCCATAAGTGGAGCCACGCATGGATCATTGAAAAAAAGTAGAGATAAGAAATTAATATGTGGCATGATAAAAAAATGAGAATGTTGATAAGTTATTACCATAAAAGACAGTGCAGTTAATCCCTTCCTATGTCACTTTAAATACGTATCCCATCATCTTGCCCCTTCCTGAAGAAGTTCTGGAAGCTCTGGCTTTTGCTGTTGGCTTTTTGATACAGGGTCTTGCTCTGTCCATCATCCTGGCCTTGCACTCACTGTGTGCCCTCGGCTGGCCTTGAACTTCAGGTGATCCTCCTGCCTCAGCCACCCGAGTGCTGGGATCACCAGCATGCAACACAGTGGCCGGCTGGAATCCCTGTTTTATGATTATCTTTCACTCCAATCTGTGGTTGCCTTGATGTCCTGTATTGATACCAATGGTTTACATTTCATGGTAGAAGAGTAAGAAGCTGCCTGATGCCAGATCCAGCGGGTGAGGGCACACCTCGTGTTAGGAGCCCACTCTCCTGTTGGATGGAGCTCACTAGCCGCATTCACTGTGGTTTTGATCATACCTTGTAAAGACACAAAAGAAAACATTAGAATACTTCAAAGACCCACAAGGACAATGGGATGTGTGTTTGGAGGTAGAGGGAAGTATATTTGGAGGGGGATTAATGACATTGTGCCTTTTACACCCATACATTTTGTAAAAATGGAAGCAATTACCATATATTTTGTTTTGTTTTCTTTTTTTTTTTTTTTTTTTTGGCGGAACCGGGGATTGAACTCAGGTCCTTGTCCTTGCTAGGCAAGCACTTATTCTACTGAGCCATCTCCCCGGCCCCAATCACCAT